GCTTAATCTTTCTTGCTACTCCATGTAGGAATAGCTAGGGTATTTATAGACCCCAAATGGCTTCAAAACTTAGAGCCAAAACTTAAATCCCCGAGATTTCGGGGTACAGGTGGTACCACCGCCTACAGCCTGATACTATGCGGTACCATCGCCCAGTCTAGTGGTCCTACCACCTGACACACTATCACTGGGCGGTACCATCGCCTGACAGCCTCAGAGAGTTTTTTGAGTTTTTCAACTCACTAGTAGTTCTACTACCTGTTCTAGCGGTGCCACCGCTTGGCCCAACATTTGGGTCATTGAATGGGCCTCCCAATGAGCCCAAATCACTCTTAATTTAGGTTCAATTGGCCCCTAATTGAGTTGACCTAATTCCAACCCAATTATGTGCTAACTACAAATTTTAAGATATCTACTAAGTTAAATAAGTTCGTAAGTCTATGTTTCTTCCAGCGAGCTTCCAGCGATCTTCCGATGAACTTCGGACGATCTCTTGGCAATGTTCCAGCAGACTCTCGGCAAGCTCTTGGACTTCATGATGATCTTCTTGGTGAGTTTCGATGAGCTTCTTTGGCAAGCTCCTAGACTTCTCGGTCAATTCCGATAAAACTTCTGACGAACGTCCGGACTTCCGATGAACTCTCGAACTCCCAACGAAATCTCGTTCTTGACTTCGGGACTTCATTTTACTTTATACCTTGCTATCGTAGTTAATCCTACATACTTAAAACCCACTTCGATTTAGAAAATTATTACAAAGGTTGAATCAAATGTTGTCCGTCATGTTATTAGTTTATCGACGCTTCGTTCGATTATTCGACGCATCATCCTCTCTTGCAGCCTATTATCCAATCGGCTAGTTAACCTCCACAGCTCCAATTTTTTTGGCACAATTTTCATTCTTCTTGGCCCAATGCCCGAACACATGACCCGAAGCCTTCTACCAATACATCGACTGATCCTTTGACTCGATATCCAATCTTCTGACATATTTTTCTCCGGCCCAACATGATTCTTCCTGCTTTAATTGTCTCATCCTGATCGAAGCTTCCTACGTTACTCAAAATACAGATCAAATCATAAATACTATCAATTGGTTCCATCATCAAAATCCAAGATTCAATATAAATATTATAACTTCTTAAAACAATCATAGATTTATTCTTACTTGGTATTTCCATTACGTAAGCATGAGATTCAAATTTAATATTATATCCCTTATCATAAAGTTGACTAATGCTTATTAAGTTATATTTTAAACTATCTACCAAAAAGTATAATTAAGAGATTTGATTTATTACTAATATTTTCAATACTAATGATTTTTTCTTTATTATTATCTCTGAAAGTAACATATCCTCCATCTCTATTAGTGAGTATTAAGAAGTATGTTGGATCTTTGGTTAGTGCCTTAAGCATCCATTATTAGAATACCATCTTTTACTCTTTTGACTTATGTTTGGAGATATACCTACAAGAAAGAAATATTTAATTTAGGTACTCATTTAACTTTTGGTCCTTCATGGTTAGATCTACCTTTCTTAATTTTTGGTATCAAATCACTAATAATTCCTTTAGGAACCTAAGCTAATTTAAAATATTATATTTTTTAAGAAAATAAATTTTTCATAAAAATTACATTTAATTTTAGGAGGAATATATAGTGTCAGTCCTTTTACAAATTTTGTTGGCTTGTAATGAGTATTACTACTCACAAAACCAATTTCTTCTTTTCTTGCTACACAACGTTAGTTAACAAGAATTATATTTAGTGACTTATTTTTAATTTTAAATTTTTTTTAATATTTATTGTGATAATATATTTTTTTAGTGAGATTAACTCTTTAGTGCAAGATGTTGACATATAATTGTCATACTTATTTTTTAATTCATCAAATTTATTAGTGAGAAAAATATGATTCTTTTTTAGTAAATTATATTTTTTAACCAATGTTTTTAAGTTCATTATATAAATTATAAAGTATACCAAATAATTCATTATATGATAAAGATATTTTGGGAGAGTTAAATACCTCATTATTGAATGTCCTTAAGGCATAGTTTGTCATTTCTTCTTCATTGACTTGCTCTTCGACGTCTGTTTTACTTTATTCATCCCACATTGTCTTTATGTATTTTCTTCTTCTTTTAATTTGATGACTTCTTTTTCAGTTATGAACACTTATTTTTGAAATGTCCTAGCTTTTTATACTCGTAGCATATGAATATAATTTTCTTAGGCTCACTTTTGTTCTTATCTTCTCATCTCGTAGGATTTGTCTTATTTTTTCTCATGAAATTTTTTAATCTTCTTATAAGAAGTGTCATATTATCATTATCACTTTAGCTTTTGCTCGAGTAGTTTTATATGTGAGCAATATCCTTCCTTTTCTTTGAAATATTTTTTTTATTATCTAGTTTATAAGTCATTTCATATATCATTAAAGATCCTATAAGTTCTTTAAAATAAAATTTATCCAAGTCTTTAGCTTCTTGGATTACCGTTACTAATCCCAACATTTATGAAGAGACCTTAAAATCTTACTCACTAATTCAAGATTAGTATAACTTTTATCAAGAGCTTTTTGACCATTGACAACATGTCACTAATAAATTTGCTTGGCTCTATTTTAAATAATTTATAAATATAAATCAAAAGATTAATTTTAGATTAATTTACTTTATTTGTGCCTTCATGAATACCAAATATCATGTGCGGTATCACAAGTAGAATCTTGATTTAGCTTATTTATATCTAAAGCATAAAATAAAACATTCAAAGCTTTAGTATTTAAAGAAATTTTCTTTTTTAAAATCATTTCATTCATCCATCGATTTAAAAGATTTTTAAAATTCAAATTTAACAACATTCTATAAGGCAAAATCCATAAAAACAAAAAAATCTACATTCATGTTTTCTAAAATGTGTAGTCTGTCCCATTGAATTAGAGGATGAATAATAGAGTGACCCTCTTGATTACTTGAAAAAATCATTAAATATATAATGATTGTTAATCTAATTGATAGAACCATACTCTGATACCAATTGTTAAAATCATAATAGAACTAAGAGAGGGAGGGATGAATTAGTAAAATTTTATCAAAATTTAAAGTTCAATCGATTAATATATTTTAGAAACATGATTAACTAAAAAGTGAATAAAAATTACGAGTAAAATAAATGAATAAGCAACAACAAATAAAAAGTAAGAGAAGGAATACAAATTGATTTATAATGATTCCGTTTTCTTGACCTACGTCTACTCTTGCTTCCTCTTCCCTCGAGGCCTTCGGCTTTCACTAACAATCTTCTTTCCAATGGGCGAAGATCAACTGTCGTTATTATAATTTTTTCATTTTAATAGGCTTAGGTGAGAACCTCCACACTCACTCTCTTGCAAGATCTCCTGCCTCCTATAACTTATAATCATCTCTAAACTTAGGAAAGAGAAAGAGACTCAAGCAATTATCAAAGAGAGAGCTACAATCCTTCACAAACTCAGAATTTGATGCTCTATCAACTAAGCCTTAATGAGATATTTATAAGCCTCAAGAGGTTTTAAAATAGAACCAAAAATATCAAATCAAAAAAATTTAGGATATGGGTGGTACTACCGTTAACACATGATGGTCTTATCGTCGTAATTTTTAACATTATAATTTTAAACTTTTGGGTGGTACTATCTTTGTAATTTTTTAATTCTGAGTAGTACCATCACTAATAGTGCTAGTGCTGACAAGCACTGTTTGTGCTTATTGATTGACTCAAGTTATACCACTGCTCAAGACAACTGAAGGCCATTGTTTTGGCCTTCTAACATGCCCAATTCAACCTAGGTCCAAGCCCATTGGCTTTCTCGATAAGTTAGCATGATTTCAGCTCAATACCAACTCAATTTGACTCGGAAAGATCTCGAATAATACTTTAACAATCCAACCACATATCTGACATAATTACGAAGCTTTTAACATGTACATCATTCTAACATTTTGTTCGATCTTTCGGTACTTCGTTCGAACCTCCGGCATATTATCCTTTCCTTCAGCATATCACCCGATCTATTGGCATGTTGACTTTCTCATGACATTCAATCTTTCGGTGCAATATCTGATTCTTCTAACATAATGCCCGAACTTATAGCATGAAGTCCAATCTTTGGCCCGTCGACCAATCCTCCGACTTAACGTCTAATTTTCGACATGATATTTTTCTCAATACAATATCTACTTTCCTACTTCAACAATTTGTCCTTGATGGTTTGAGTCTTGTATTTCATACGTCACTTATATTAAAAACATATTAGTCTATAAATTCATTAATTGATTTAATCATCAAAATTCGAGATTCAACAAATTCATTTGAGTCATTTATAATATATATTTAAGTAAGTTTTATAGCATTATTATGATGATCAAAATAACTATAATAAATTAATTTTTATTTTATTTGAGTAATATTGTTGTTAGACTATTATAAATATTTGTTTGAATAATAATATAATATATCAAATGTTACGATATATTTTGATTTTATTTGGTTCATTTATAATATATTTAAATAGACATTATGAAGTTTTCATTATAATAAATAAAAAATTTAAAAAAATAATAATTTAAACGTTTTTAAAAATTAAATATACTGTTTAAGAAAAAGAAAGAGATATCGATCGAGAAATATCTAAAATATGATTATTTTAAAGAAAATCGTCGATTTTAATTTATTGTTTATATTGCATGATGAATTGTACGCATGCGACTTCACTTACAGAGCTCCGATCCGACGTCGTCCTCACGTATCCATCTAAATTGCAGATGCTGAGAGAACGACTCGATGTTTTGCATTCTACCTCAGAGTGCAGGAACACTCGGAGGCTGCTGCTGCTGCTGCTGCGGCCGCTGCTTCTGCCGTTCCAGAAGGCATCCTCATCATGCTTTCCGTCTGTTCCGCAGCAATGGAATCAGACAAAAGCTTCCACAGGCACAGTGCCTATTTTGTCCTCTTCAACTTTAAATCTGTACTACAGATGAGGAATCTACAACCCAACCCTTTCCCTGGCAAGCAGGAAGACAGTTCCACACAGGAAAACAAGGGAACAACAACAGGCACAAAGCAAAGAGAAGAAGAAAAAGGTCCCTTTCTTCTGTTGCCTTTTCCTGCAACCCCACAACATGCCTACACTTGGACAGCTAATAGACCTCAGCTTTGTCTTTGTTTCACAGAAACAAATACCTCCTTTCTACGGCAGTCATTTGGCTTCTTGACCTCCTACTGTGGTCTTCTCTTCCTCCATTGCTTCAACATGTAGAGAAGACAACAGCTACCCGAAGAACAGGAGAAGATGAGAACCTTCTACAGTTTCACCTGTGACTGCACAGATGCAACAGTTTCCTTCTTCCTTCCACGATCTCATCAAAGAAGTCATCCATTTGTCCCACTAGATTCTCGGTCCCCGACCTCAGCATCCCAAACCACCCCTTGAGTTCCTCCACCTTCTCCTTTAGGCCTCCCCCGGCGATCTCCGGTCCACATCTCATGGCTGCAGCTGTCTCCAGCTCGTCTCTTAGCTCTTCGGTCGCCGCCCTGGCTTGCCGGAACTCGAGCATCAGAATTCCCGACCGGCCGTCCAGTCCTTCCACCTCTCCGACCACCCTCTGCTGCAGGCTCGCCATGGAGACCATGAGTTCTGAGCCGAAGAAGAGCGAGCCGTCGGTGACTGCCAGTTCCGGGCAGCAGGAGACGGATCCCCATAGCAGGATGAGCAGCAGCAAGGAGCTGGCGTTCCTCAGTGCGTAAAGCACGCCTCTGAAGCCATTGAACCCGTTGTATCTGGACTCCATCGACAGCCTATCGTCAAACCGGAAGGACATGGGCTCGATCCTCGTCTCCACCAGCACTCTGTTCTCCTCTTCCAGTCCCATGGCTTCTCTCCGGCAAATCGAGACTGCTCGCATCACCTTAACAATGTGGAAGCGACCAAAAATATCAGAGCTTTGAGATATCAGTAGAAGAAAGAAGCAGGAATCGAAGCAAGGAAGCCGGTCAAGACCTGCCGGGCAAGGTGGGGACTGGGGTTGTGGCGCCATTCGTCGAGCGAGGAGATCATGTCAGCTGCAGCGGAGCAGTAATTCTCGATGCCCGAGACCCCAAGCTTGATCACGTGGCAGACATCCAACAGTCGCGAGCTCTCGTCCATGTACTCGTCGAGCCACCTCTCGCCGACCGGGAGGTGAAGCTTCTGCACCAGGTTGGTCAGCCGGGAGTGGAGGGACCGGAGGAGCGCCACCGCCCGCTGGAGGAACTGGAGCGACATGAAGGTGTTCGACGTAAGGGACTCATCGAGGTCGTCGATGCCATGGGCGAGGAAGGAGAAGAAGCTGTTGACGGAGTTGGAAGAACGCTTCATGGTGGAGAGAAAGCACCAACGGTGGTGGGTGGGTGGGTGGTTGGGTGGGGGTGCAGGCAAGGTAAGTAGGAGGTGGTGATTTAACGTTGGTGGGATGGCTTGGAAGCCCAACTTCCTAAGCTTCAAGGGATGATGAATTGAGGGCAATGATGGGTGTCTCCTGCGGAGGGAGAAGGCTGATGGAGAATTCTGCCATAACACATTGTTTAGTGGCAGAAGGAAGACCGGCCTCATGAGTTCCTTTCATTGCTCCCCTTCTTCTCCCTTAACTGTCTCCAAAGAAAGAGATGAGAAGGCTCTTCTGGTCTTTCCTCTGCCTTTCTAATCTCTGTTTTGACCATGTGTTGGTTGGAGTTCCTCTCTCTCTCTCTCTCTCTCTCTCTCTCTCCTTCAACCAAAAAGCTAATCACTGAGCAAACAGTGCATGATGGAGTGTAGGATGTGCTCATCTCACTGTGTCTCAATTCTTTATTTGGGCTGAGGAAGAAATGTTTTCAGCAAAACAAATGAGATGGGAGATTTGGTAGGAGGCTTCCATTTCTTCCGAGGAAGGCAATGATGGCTTCCTCCGTATCTCAGTATCCACTATACAGGTAGTCTTTTCAAGCTTCTCTCTCTCTCTCTCTCCTTATTCTAGTCTCCCAAGAAAACCAATCTGCCTAATTGCTGCTATTAATTTGACGTGGGGAGGAGTTCGTGGGATTTTGGAGACTGTGATTGCATTGGCGGAGTACAGAGTAATTTAGAGTAGGTTGGCATGCATCCCTGCAACAACAGCAAAAAGAGGACTTGTCACTGCAACGGCATCTCGACAACTACAAGTACGCAGGGAGAGAAGAGGGAAGGCTGTAAAGGGGAGGGAGGGAGGGGGAGAGAGAAAGCCAAAGCACCTGAGATCCATGCAAAAAGAGGTTGCTATCGAGAGAGATCATTGGATTTCTACTAACGTCCATGCTGTCAAGAGGGACAAGAGTTGTCCTCAGCTCATCATGGCCATGAGTGTGGACAGTGGTGGCTGTCACAGAGGCTCATCACAGCACAACATCTCTCTCTCTCTCTCTCAGCTTGGAGAGGGGTATGAAGAGGGGGGTGATGAGGCCATGGCTGATGTACATGATTGCAGAGGAAGAAGAATGATGGTGATGTTGTAAGACAGTTTTGGGGCAAAAGGGAAGGCAGACAGAGACGAGCATCAAACGGGGCACTGCAAAGCTGTGGAAGCGTGTCGTCTTTTTCATCATTCTTGTTGATGATTCTTTGTGCTGGGCATTCCCTCAGGAGCTTTCCCTCCATAACTTGGTTTCTGCTTAGCCAACACGAAGAAGAGGGAGTACAGATCGACATCAGGTCATGCATGGCATGTAGAGAGAGAGAGAGAGAGAGAGAGAGAGACGAGAGAAACTATCAAAACAAATGTCTTCAACAAAACCTTGCTCTGCTCTGCACTGCACACTGAGACTGTGGCCGGTGCATGCAGATGGACAAGCCAGCACACATCCAGCAGCATTCATGGCAGAGATTTAGATTACCCCATTCTTGAATTGATATAATCTGATCTTTATGCTTATCCCGCACAGAGATTGTGCCACATTATTGCAAGCATTCGTGGAAGAACTGATTGATACTCCTCCTACTCTAAGCTGCACAAAGAAGGCCCAGTCCACCACAGGCCTATAGAAGCTCTCTACACGGATTCCAAGTTGAGACTTAGGGTTGAACATAGTAACATAAGATTTAGTTCAAATCATTCATTGGAAAAGCTAATTATAGTTCCATCTCTCCATTACGTATGTGAAAGTAACCTAAATAAATGGAAAGGTATGCGGTCGAATCAATTGCATTAGAAAAATGTTTGTTCCTTGTCATCTCATTTATTTCGCTATAAATATGCACACAAGCTAAGCTGTTGTGATGCCAAGTGAGTTGTTGTTGACATCCATCTTGAATGCAGTGGAGATGGCACATGTTGCGCTTTATCTTATCGTCGTGGAGTAACGTGTCTTGCATGGGGGATTCTGATTAGGCCAACACTTGGTCAAACCTTACCACACAATGTCCTCTTTGTTTGACAAAAGTTTACATGAAACCCAACTTAGTCGAAAGATTTTGGCTGTGGCAATGTGTCAAAATTTGGGAACCAATCAATCTTTGGTCCATGTCAGAGGCTTGAGTTTGATTAAGATTCTTACAAAAGTACATCGACAATAAATCCGACAAAGATCTTCTACTATTAGTATGATATTATTTTTCTTATATATATGTTTCTTATATATATATGACTGGCTTTAATTTATACTTCTTTAAACATGCACTTTAAATGGTTGAATACATTAAAATATTTTAGATGCAAATTACAGCAGTGAAACGAAGAGTTCAACACTTCGTCAAAAAGCTAATAGTCGTCATCTCATCATCATCACTCTCACGTGCCCCAAGTTTCCCCCGTCTTCTTCTCATTACTTCCGGTCGATGTGTATGCTCATCCACCCCATCGCTCGTCCTTATCCACCCACCCCACAACAGAACCCTCGCCCACCTTCCTCGAAGCTCCCCCGACCGACTACGTGTCGCCCTCCCGATGGCTCTCCTCCATGGTCCCACTCGCGGTCCACGCCGCCCCCGGTCCGCTCAAGCCTTCCCGAGTCTCTCCGTCGGCCGGGCCGACCCGCTTCCCGACGAAACTGGTGACGTAAGCCGTGACAGAATCCCGCCCGCCGCTCTCCTCGCCACGTCGATATTCGACCACTCGATGAGCGCCACGTCGACCAATCTCTTCTCCGGGTCCCCACATGTCCCTTCTCGAAGGTGCCACCCGGGCCCCGCAGCCGCCCGAGCGGTCCACCACCACGTGTCTTTATTCGCCCCACGGTCGTCTATTAAAGCCGCGTCTCGCCGGGTTCCCTAAAGTTTCAGAGCTTGCATCCTCTCAGCGGTAGAAGACCGCGGAGCTGCGGGATCGGACGGCCGTCGATCGAAGAGAGCAAGCGATGAGTGGCGGGGATCTGCAGCTGCCCCCTGGGTTCCGCTTCCACCCCACGGACGAGGAGCTCGTCGCGCACTACCTCTGCCGCAAGTGCGCCGACCTCCCCGTCCCCGTCCCCATCATCGCCGAGCTCGACCTCTACAAGTACGACCCCTGGCAGCTCCCAGGTAAGCCGTCTCATCTCATGCCCTGATGCATACGATCGCCGCAAGATCTTGATCCCGTGGTGGCGGCAGGGTTGGCGTCGTACGGAGAGAAGGAGTGGTACTTCTTCTCGCCGAGGGACCGGAAGTACCCCAACGGGTCGAGGCCGAACCGGTCGGCGGGGTCCGGGTACTGGAAGGCGACCGGGGCGGACAAGCCGGTGGGGACGCCCAGGCCGCTGGCCATCAAGAAGGCCCTCGTCTTCTACGCCGGCAAGGCCCCTAAGGGGGAGAAGACCAACTGGATCATGCACGAGTACCGCCTCGCCGACGTCGACCGCTCCGCCCGCAAGAACAACTCGCTCCGGGTAAGCCGAGCACCAACTCCTGTGCAAATGTTAGCTCGCCTGGGTGTGGAAGATGACGTGGTGAGACACGTGTTGGGTTGCAGCTGGACGACTGGGTGCTGTGCCGTATCTACAACAAGAAAGGAAACAGCGGCTCGGAGAAGCCGGGGAACCCGGTGAGTCACCCGTCTGGGTCGACGGTGGCCGGCGACAGCCCCGAGGACCGGAAGCCAGCGCTCGGCCAGGGCGCGCCGCCGCTGGCGTACAGCTTCGCGCCGTCGGACTCCATACCCAGACTGCACGCCGACTCGAGCTGCTCGGAGCACGTCCTGTCGCCGGAGTTCGTGTGCGAGAGGGAGGTGCAGAGCCAGCCGCGGTGGCGGGCCACCGACCGGGACAAGGCCGTCGGCCTCGGGAATCCCGCTGCCGCCTACAACGCCAACGCCAATTCGGCCTTCACCCAGTTCGAACCGGGCCTGCTCTCCTCCGGGTTGGGGGACCCGTTCCAGGACATCCTCATGTACCTGGGGAAGCCCTTTTGAGCCACGAGAACACCAGCGGACGGAGTTGACTCAGCGAGCTGCGGTGGAATCGGTGCGCGCGGAGGGGGGTTTCTGGCCGTCGGATTCGGAACCATCCGAATGGCACGGCGGGAGGCGCCACGGCAGCGATGAGACCGACTCGATTCCGGGCGGCCGAGTTATGAACGAGTGGACGTACAGATTGGTTGTTTAGCGGATGATACTGCAGGGGCACACGTTTCTTTCATACATAGAGGCTTCATGGAATGAATCCAATTAAGGAACAAAAACCAAGACCCCAAAAGCTTGAGAAGAACACGAATTATACTAAGTTATTGGTGTTCAAAGAAAAATTTTAATCTCAAGGCGAATTATCCATTGATGTTAAGTCACGTTTCATTTGCGTTTAAAAAATCAGATCAAAAGTAAGGATGATGAATAAATATCTAATTTCGGACCTCTTTGGAATTGATAACGTAATCCCAATTGAGATGGCTAACTTTATTAGTAGACTTTTCGTTTTCAAAGAAATCTATAGAAAGAAATCTATGCAATGGTCCCCATCCGGGATAGAGGAGGAACTTTTGACTTGAGCCCTCCAATACTTGAGTTAGTATTGAGTTTTATCTTTTTTCCTCTTCTTTAATTTATAATTAAAGATATTTTTTATATTAACCTGGAAGAGGAGGAATATCTCGTAAAAGATCCTATCGGGGATAGTTTGTAATCGATAACTATCCTTTGGATTGTCAAAAATATTTTTACAAATATTTTATAAAAAAATTGATTCCTAACTAACTCGAACTATTTTCTGAGCTTCCGAAAATATTCATACGAATATTCCACGAAGAAGTCGGTCTGTAACCTATCTTTTGTAAGCTTTCGAAAATATTTCTATGAATATTTTATAGAAAAATCAATTAGTAACTTATTCGAACTATTTTTTAGATTTTTAGAAATATTTTTATGAATATATAATAAAAGAATGATTGATAATGACATGAGCTGCCTTTTGGACTAAGAGGTGTTGGCTCGATATAGCATTTACATGATGAATAATAAGTAAATGATTTTATATTCTAAAATAAATCTTCTTAGTGGTTCCTCTTTTTCCATTATTTATTCCTCTCTATCTCTTCTTATCGGTCAGTTCCTCTCTTTCTAATCTACTCTTTTTATTTTTCCATTTACATCTTTTATTATTAAGATCATTGAATTTTTAAACATTTTTATATTTTAAAATAATATAGATAGTATTTTATTTATTTTTTAAAAAATAAATTAAAATATATGATTTGATCAATTGAACTACTCGTCCAATCAATAATCATGAAAGAACTCGATCAAATCATTTTTTTGATTCGATTAAGATAAATATACCAAGACATCAATTCATAATCAATGATCCAATGACCCATGAAATTATTTGCCGGTTCGACTAAGATTAATATATCAAGACACTAATCATTGTCAATTGATCTAAAATCATATCGTTAAACTTTATCCATGATGCATTGACTCGATAGGATCATCAGTGACATTAGATTATAATCTTCACAAATCCATCACAAAAATAATTTCACTAATATTTATTCTCCGCTCCTATTAGGATCAGAGTAGCACTAAGAGGGGGGTGAATTAGTACAGCGGATAAAAACTTGTAAGTTTAAAAACGAATTTGTAAATACGAGTAGATTTCGTTTCGATATTAACTTGAGTAGATGAAAACCGAAAGCTAGCAATAGTGTAAATAACAATTTCAGGAAAGTAAGAACTCATACATTCAAGGAACACACCAATTTAAAGTGGTTCGGTCAAAATGACCTACATCCACTTGCGAAGCCTTCTTCGAAGAGGCTCCCAACTTCCACTAGCAAATCACTTTAAAGGAGAAGGATAAATACCCCTCTTACAACCTTTTACAAGTGGTTCACACTCTTACAAATTTTCAACCAAAAAGAAGGAAATAAACACTTAAGCAATTGAAAACAAGACTTGCTAAAGACTTTGCTAAGGTTTTTATCTCAATCTATTGCTTCTCAAAAGTTGTATTCTTTGAGAATTGAGGGGAATTTATAGACCCCAAGAAGATTCAAATTTGGGCTCCAAATTTTGAATTATCTTGGATTCTACCGCCATCGACTATCAATTTCACATTGATCATGTACTGGCGGTGCCACCGCTTATCGGTGGCGGTGCTACCGCCTGTCAATTTTCACATTGACAGTGTTCTAGCGGTGCCATCGTCGGAACTCTCGGGCTTTGGGCGGTGCCACTGCCCGAACTCTTGGGTGCTAGGCGGTGCCACCGCCTTGTCCGGCGGTACCATCGCCTGATCCTTGGGTTTTGGGCGGTGCCACCGCCTGATCCTTGGCTTCTGGGCGGTTCCACCGGTCATTGGTTGGGCTTCAAATCCGGCCCTAACCAAGTCATATTCGAGCCCAATTGGCCCCTAATCAGGATATAGGATTATCCCTTAATCATAACCCTAATTACATGCAAACTACGCAACTGAAAACATAGTCCTAAGCAAGTTTTTAACTGGCAAACATCGAGTCTCCTTCTGGTGAGCTTTCCGACGATCTTTCGACGAACTTCTAATACACCCTCGGATTTCTTCCAACGGACTCCCAGTAGGCTTCCAATCTTGTGGCGAGTTTAGCGAGTAGCCGAGCCTTCTCGGTGATCTCCGCGAACCTCCGACGATTTCTTCAGCGGACTTCGCGGACTTCCGAAAGTCCCCGATTTCTTCTCAGTTAGTTCCAGCAACATCTCCGACGAATCTTCGGATTCTCGAACACCCATTGAACTTGACTTTGGTATCTTTGCTTTATGTTTTCATACTATCATAGTTAATCCTACACATTTAACTTGATAATATGGATTAGATCAATTAATCCATTTTCTAATTATTTTTTTTTTCCAAAAATACGATCCTAATCATCTCAAAGTAAAAAAACGTCACTCGTTTGCTGAATTTTTTAAAAGACTCCAAATAAGACAATTGGAGCAATTAGATGTATCATATAGATCGATCCATAGAATAAAGCGATCAAATTCTTAAAATATAATATTTTAAATAAATTTATAATATTTTAATGGAGGTAAAACAATAAGTCTATTAGAAAACATAATGTTTGATTGTTCTAAACATATTTAAGATCGTATGTTTATAGATGAACTAATTTCTATTAAGTTTTGGATCTAATTAGTCTGTGAATTTCGTTGAGTTCAACTCACTTATCAAAATATTAAATAAATATTAATTTTTTACTTTTGATGTGAGACTGATTGAAGTGTTATATATATATATATATATATATATATGATATTTTGATAGATACATCAAAAATAGTATAAATTTACTAAAAAATTGATAATGTAAATCTTATATATAAATTATTTGATCGAATCGGTACAATTCAGTAGTCTTCACCGCGAGGACGTTCTAAGGATTAAAGAAAAAAAGGAACACCAATAAAGAGAAACACAGGAGGAGGAGATTTAGAGATATTTCTGTAGGAGGTACTGTCTCTGTGTTCAATGCCCCCCCCACCTCTCATCTCACGATAGAGAGAGAGAGAGAGAGAAAAAAGAGGAAAAAGGTCCCATTGCTTTAAAGCAGCAGTCGACTGAGCATGTCGTCCACTTCACGTTAAAAGAAGGGCGTCACATGATAAAGGGCACCGCTATAATGAATCCGTAGAGCAACGGGCTTCCTTTGCCACCCCGCCGATCCAATTTAAACCATCAGCCTCAACCCACCTGCACAGGAAAGCAACCAGTAAAAGATGGCCTCTCACCACCTTCCCTTCCATCGCACTCTTCTAGTTTACCCTCCTCTCTCTGTCACCGTCCCTTCCTTCCCCATCTCAACAAGTCATGGGCTCCTGTGTTAGCAAGTGCTACACCAGTCCTCCTCCTCCTCCACCCCCTGACCTTGATTCTTGCGTTCTGCAAGACAAGCTCGTCATCTCTGAATCCGCTCCTCCTCCCAACTCTCTCTCCTGTGCTCTCTCCAAGGCACAGACTCCCTCCTCCTCTTCCTGTTCCTTGTTGTCTTCTTCTTCTCCTTCCGTTTCCTCCTCCTCCTCCTCCTCCTCGAACTCGTGTAGTAGCACTTCTTCGCTGCTGCAATACTCGATCGCACACAAGCATGGTGAAGCTGTGAAGCCTAAGCCTGTCAAGTCTGCTGTCCAAACTCTGCAGCCTACACCGAAGAAATCGGTTCCAGCAAAGAGAGCTCGCTCTTCCTCGCCGAATGCGGTCGCTGGGCGTAAGGTTTACAGGACCGAGAACAGCTCGGCGGCGGTGGCGGCTCCTCAGAGACGGAGAAGCACGCAGATCGAGAAGCAAAGACACGATGTTATGGCTCCTCAGATCACCGCAAGGAAGGACAACACCCGACTCCGGCAAAGTTTGAGCTCAGAGAAAGAGATAAGGGTGCACCACATCCACCATGTCCACAACGCACAGGAGGTCTCATCTGGGGTTCCTCTCGCCGACGACCTAGACAATCCTCTCATATCTATGGACTGCTTCATCTTTCTTTGAAGAAGAAGAAGAAGTAATTGCAGCTTGAGCTTGCAATAATGGTTTGTCTGTTTGGTGTCTTCTTTACATTCGTTGTATCCGTAACTCTACCTCTGAGTGAGTGACAGAGAGCACACATAGCAGGAAGAGGTCATGTGGATTAAGCGTATGGAGGCTTGTTTGGTTTGTGCTCGAATGTAGTATTGGTGAAGTCATGTACAAATATGGAGTGTGGATTTCTTAGCATCCCCTTTGCGATGCACCAATTTATTGAAATATTTTGGCAAGAATGTTGAATGAAACATTGGAATGTAACACCTGATCTTGCCCAACAGTAGCAATAATTTTAGTGGGCCCCATTTTACATCTTACTATTGATAATTCTTTAAAAAAAAATAAATAAAATTATATTTTTTATTTATAATTTCATTAATATTGATTTTATCTTTTTTTCTTCTTCTCTCACAACCCTTGCGATCCCTGTCCTATGCACCTTATCACTGTTGATGCTCCCCAAGCTTATGTTCCATGTCGACTTACGCTTCATCAATGTTTTCTCTCTCATGCTTTAGTGACACTCCATTTTCTTGTGTTTCATCGACAATCCCTCCTCCGTCTCTCCCCACGGACACCATCTTCATCGAGCTCCTCTAATGCTGATTGCCACCCCCTCGACGTTGTCCGCTAAAGAGAAAAAAAAGGAGGAAAAGACAAGGGCATTTCCATCTATTTGTAAAGGAATAATTTAAAAATATAAAAAAAAAATTAAAATGAGATTATAAATAGTAAAGAGAGGTTGTAATCTTCTAATTTTATTCCATAAGGAAAGTTTTTTATTAAACCTAAAGTAAGTGCGCTCATATGCCACAATAGTAATTTAGAAAAAAATACTTATATTAAATTCTTCATCAACTAAGGGGCTAA